CCAAAAAAATAGCCCATTTGAACCCGTATAAACGGGTTCTGGGCCGGTTTTACTCTCCCGAAGGAGACTCCGCCCTTCGGCGTAGCCTCCTTCGGGTTCCTCCCGCCCGTAGGAAGAGAGTTGAACCGAACAGTCGCTCAGAAAGTACTGAGTCGACTGACGATATTCAGTCACCCCCACGAGGGTGTCATGTGGCACAAGGCCTTTTTAACGTGGGCATTCCCGAGCCATTAGGCTCGGCCAAAAATAGCCCATTTGAACCCGTATAAACGGGTTCTGGGCCGGTTTTACCTCCCGAAGGAGACTCCGCCCTTCGGCGTAGCCTCCTTCGGGTTCCTCCCGCCCGTAGGAAGAGAGTTGAACCGAACAGTCGCTCAGAAAGTACTGATTCGACTGACAATATTCAGTCACACCCCACGAGGGTGTCATGTGGCACAAGGCCTTTTTAACGTGGGCATTCCCGAGCCATTAGGCTCGGCCAAAAAATAGCCCATTTGAACCCGTATAAACGGGTTCTGGGCCGGTTTTACCTCCCCGAAGGAGACACCGCCCTTCGGCGTAGCCTCCTTCGGGTTCCTCTCGCCCGTAGGAAGAGAGTTGAACCGAACACTCGCTCAGAAAGTACTGATTCGACTGACAATATTCAGTCACCCCCCACGAGGGTGTCATGTGGCACAAGGCCTTTTTAACGTGGGCAATTCCCGAGCCATTAGGCTCGGCCAAAAAAATAGCCCATTTGAACCCGTATAAACGGGTTCAGGGCCGGTTTAACCTCCCGAAGGAGACTCCGCCCTTCGGCGTAGCCTCCTTCGGGTTCCTCTCGCCCGTAGGAAGAGAGTTGAACCGAACAGTCGCTCAGAAAGTGAATCGACTGACAATATTCAGTCACCCCCACGAGGGTGTCATGTGGCACAAGGCCTTTTTAACGTGGGCATTCCCGAGCCATTAGGCTCGGCCAAAAAATAGCCCATTTGAACCCGTATAAACGGGTTCTGGGCCGAGTTTAACCTCCCGAAGGAGACTCCGCCCTTCGGCGTAGCCTCCTTCGGGTTCCTCTCGCCCGTAGGAAGAGAGTTGAACCGAACAGTCGCTTCAGAAAGTGAATTCGACTGACAATATTGAGTCACCCCCCACGAGGGTGTCATGGGCACAAGGCCTTTTTAACGTGGGCATTCCCGAGCCATTAGGCTCGGCCAAAAAAGCCCATTTGAACCCGTATAAACGGGTTCTGGGCCGGTTTTACCTCCCCGAAGGAGACTCCGCCCTTCGGCGTAGCCTCCTTCGGGTTCCTCCGCCCGTAGGAAGAGAGTTGAACCGAACAGTCGCTCAGAAAGTACTGATTCGACTGACGATATTCAGTCACCCCCACGAGGGTGTCATGTGGCACAAGGCCTTTTTAACGTGGGCATTCCCGAGCCATTAGGCTCGGCCAAAAAAAGTAGCCCATTTGAACCCGTATAAACGGGTTCTGGGCCGGTTTTAACCTCCCCGAAGGAGACTCCGCCCTTCGGCGTAGCCTCCTTCGGGTTCCTCCCGCCCGTAGGAAGAGAGTTGAACCGAACAGTCGCTCAGAAAGTACTGATTCGACTGACAATATTCAGTCACCCCCACGAGGGTGTCATGTGGCACAAGGCCTTTTTAACGTGGGCATTCCCGAGCCATTAGGCTCGGCCAAAAAATAGCCCATTTGAACCCGCATAAACGGGTTCAGGGCCGGTTTAACCTCCCCGAAGGAGACTCCGCCCTTCGGCGTAGCCTCCTTCGGGTTCCTCTCGCCCGTAGGAAGAGAGTTGAACCGAACAGTCGCTCAGAAAGTACTGATTCGACTGACAATATTCAGTCACCCCCCCACGAGGGTGTCATGTGGCACAAGGCCTTTTTAACGTGGGCATTCCCGAGCCATTAGGCTCGGCCAAAAAATAGCCCATTTGAACCCGCATAAACGGGTTCTGGGCCGGTTTAACCTCCCCGAAGGAGACTCCGCCCTTCGGCGTAGCCTCCTTCGGGTTCCTCTCGCCCGTAGGAAGAGAGTTGAACCAACAGTCGCTCAGAAAGTACTGAACGACTGACAATATTCAGTCACCCCCCACGAGGGTGTCATGTGGCACAAGGCCTTTTTAACGTGGGCATTCCCGAGCCATTAGGCCCGGCCAAAAATAGCCCATTTGAACCCGCATAAACGGGTTCTGGGCCGGTTTAACCTCCCCGAAGGAGACTCCGCCCTTCGGCGTAGCCTCCTTCAGGTTCCTCCCCCGCCAGTCGGTTCAAAAGTGAACTACTGACAATATTCAGTCACCCCCCACGAGGGTGTCATGTGGCACAAGGCCTTTTTAACGTGGGCATTCCCGAGCCATTAGGCCCGGCCAAAAAATAGCCCATTTGAACCCGCATAAACGGGTTCTGGGCCGGTTTAACCTCCCCGAAGGAGACTCCGCCCTTCGGCGTAGCCTCCTTCGGGTTCCTCTCGCCAGTCGGTTCAAAAGTGAACTACTGACAATATTCAGTCACCCCCCCACGAGGGTGTCATGTGGCACAAGGCCTTTTTAACGTGGGAATTCCCGAGCCATTAGGCTCGGCCAAAAAATAGCCCATTTGAACCCGTATAAACGGGTTCTGGGCCGGTTTAACCTCCCCGAAGGAGACTCCGCCCTTCGGCGTAGCCTCCTTCGGGTTCCTCTCGCCAGTCGGTTCAAAAGTGAACTACTGACTCTTTGCCTACTCCCGAGGCGCTGTATTTATTAAGTATGGAATAGTCCATTATTATTATTATGGGTAAGATCCCATAACAATAACATTATCATTGAAAGACGAAAGGAAATCACCATATTGATACATGTTTAAATGCAATCTAATCTTTCGGCTTACATAAGCCATTATCAAAGATGACAATTACTTTTCAATATATCAACCAGTACACCGACGAAACAATAATGATAGTCTGTTTTTGTTGCATGAAAAATTTCAAAGCAACGACTAACTCGTGTATACGAGACGCGGAAGCGAAAATTGCGTCGCAGTACGTGACGTCACACATGACCACGCATATACACGACAATATGAAAGGAACTTAATTAAAATAAATATTAAAAACTTGTATATGTTAAACATGCATCAATGAAAAATTGCTGCCTAAATATACACAATATATATATATATATATATATATATATATATATATATATATATACAAAAAAAGATTTCAAAGAGTAGCATCGTGATTTCCTACATACTGAAACCTTAAAAAACATTTTAACGTTGAAACAAGATGTACAGTTCTGTAGTGAGTATGTACATGTTTTAATGTAACACTGTATAATATATATATATATATATATATATATATATATATATATATATATATATATATATATATATATATTGTGTGTGTATGTATTAGGTACATCCACATATTCGTGATACCTAAAAAATTCATATAAGTTTAAAATGAATTTTACAGAATGAAAAAATCTTTCTTGAAGCGTTTATTTTAGTTTTAATTTCGAGCTAATAGATCAAATTTAATATTTTCAAAATAAAACAAAACAAAATACTTTGCTGCATTCCAAAATTTATTCAGTTTGACTAGAAGGAGTTTTTGGAATTTCTGAAATTGTTGATTTTAGCGCCATTTGTCGCCATCTTTCATCAGAAACTAAGTCACTTTATTAAAAAATCTTCCAAAATGAAAATATACTTTTCTAAAAATGTATTTGAGGAACATTAGCTGAAATTAAGTTTAATTAATTTTATTTGAAACAAAGTTTAAAATATCACAGAAATGCATTTTTTAACAAGCGTGTAGCTATTTTTAAGGTGTCAACATGCTGACAACTTCAGTGACAGATGGAATTTTATCTAATGCTTTCCTGTGGTTGATATATCTATAAAAAATAATTGTAGAATATAAAGTGAGCAACAACGTTTTTATATAATTGGAAGTATTCAGTAATCTTAAAAATTTAGGAAAATATTCTCCGTAATCTAATATTTTATTGAATTTTGGGTTTAAATTTATTATAGTTATCACTCTTATTTTCTGATAATGTCATGTATGGTCTCTCGAATCCTTTTTATAATGACATAAAGATTTTTACGATAAAATTTTGTTTTTATTAAGTTTGGGGGCATATTTTCATCATGGAATGCTAATTTTTTTTTAGTACATCAATGGATGTGCCTATTATATATATATATATATATATATATATATATATATATATATATATATATATATATATAAGTTGGTTGGGTTACCTTTGAGATTATAACTAAAAATGAATTAAATATACTAGCTGAACTCGTGGTAATTGCACGTGTGTTGACATCTATGATTATCCATTATCTTATGCCGGTCCCAAACTTTGCAGATATCTTTTCATTCCCTCACTTACCGCTTCCAAGTTTCTGCCTTGTCTGTGCTTTTATCTAAATGTTATACCAACATAGATTAGTGTCATATGCGAAAATGGAATGAGGAATGTACATATATGTTCTCAGGCCTAGTCTATTTTGTCATTCTTTTAAAATTTCGTTTTTCCATAGTGCATTTTAATGCATTACAATTGTTGACTTTTTTCCAGATTTACTCGCCTTTCAATATTTCACTCATAATCTCTTTATATCTAGCCATCAAGACTGGGTCTCTATGTTATTCTTTCGTAACCAACACTTCATCCTCTCCCTCTCTCGTATATATATATATATATACGCGCTGTGTGTCTGTTTCGTTGATTGATTCGTTTTCTACGGCTGTCAATTCTTTGCAGGTTATTTAAAGCCAGGAAATATTTTAGATTGTAAGATTTCTTTTACAGATAATAATGATTTAGTGACGAAAGTCTTACCAGTTAACACATGGCTGGGAGGGGGAAAGAAGTAGATTCATACCTTTGCCAAGGGTATCTGCGCGTAAGTGACTATAATGAACACGAGAATTGAAACCCGGCACTCTGATTAACAGATCCGAGTCATTATTCATTACATAACCCGCAATCAAAATTTGCTGCACCTAGTATTCCCAAGCGGTCACTCGTCTAGGTACTGAACGTGTTTGACGATGCTTAACTTTGGTGACCGTACGGGAACTAGTGTTTCGATGCCTTATGCCGTGAGCCATTTTATGTGTCCGTGAGCGCATATATATATATAATTCGATCGACAATGACTGTTTCATTTTTTATTGTATTTTTACAATTTTCGTATCCCCCCTATCCTTTCTCGTAGGTTGACTTGTCGCTTGTAAAAACTTAATGCAGGTCGTACATATATCGATAATCACATCACAGGAAACTAAATTAAAACTATCAACATAAGACAAATATTATACTAATTTAATACTAAAATATTATATAACATTCACTACAATAAAAATTCTAAAAACTTTTATTAGAAAAAATAAACGCATTAAATAAAAATAACCAAAGGGTACCAAAGGTTTACAGGATGTAGTCAACAAAATCTTGTCTACCACACTGACAACACCTAGTTCTTAATAATGACTGAGACGTTTGAAAATACTTGGACAAAAATAAAACAGAACATTGACTTCAGACAATTTAATTTTGATTCTGATGTACATCTTATCTCTATCTATAAAAGGCAGGATGTGTGTGTGTGTGTGTGTGTGTGTGTGTGTGTGTGTGTGTGTGTGTGTGTGTGTGTGTGTGTGTGTGTAACGAATGCACGGCCGCAATTTTCGACGGATTTGCACCAAAATTTACATGCACATGCTCCAAGTTAGTGGAAAGGCCAAGACTGACTTTGCATTTCCCAACTCCCATCGATAGTGGAAATAATCGATTTCTTCATGCTTCTACGGCAGTTTTCATGTAGTTTGCGGCCATTTTATACTGGCCAGCATGAGAGCCAACAGCTGACTGACACAAATGTTAACTAGCATGCTAGCATGCAAAAAAAATCGATAGCTGCATTCGTCACAAGTGGGAAAAATTTAAATCTGCATGGCACTTTACTCCAATTGGCTCATTCGCTTGCTTAAACTCAACATTGATTCTGATTCCGCAGAACTGGGTTGGATGTGAAAAAGTATTTGTTGTTAACATTCTTTTTTCATTCGGTTTTTCCAATTACGAGTCCTTTTTTAAAGCTGATTATTTTGTGTTCATTTTGTTTAGTTCTTTTTTCGCAACAGATTTAACGTTTAGTATAGAGCTTAGAAAAAATTCGTAGTGTGAGATAGGCAAGAAGTAAGGCATGTAGCAACATCAGCACGGCAAAGGGCACTCCTTTAAAGGCAAGGAAGGGCGAAAATATTTTAAGTCAAGTGATAGTGGTTGCTGTATGAGTCGTACGATTTTTGAATCAAGCACGGGCAACGCCGGGCCATGCTGCTAGTATATATATATATATATATATATATATATATATATATATAATCATTTCACCCCAAGTAGGGTAATAACTAGGACGCTGGGGGATGCTGGGAGTGGAAGTGAATGAGAAGTCTTTAGTGAGGAGAAAAGTCAATAAAGGAACAGTTTTCACGAATACAGAAGATAATTAAATTTTTGAAGATTGTAGGAAGCAAGAAATACAGACGCGTGAAGTACGAGAAAAGATACTATTAGAATAGAATTGACGGTTGAATCTAGCTAGTTCAACAGTAAAACGGAAAGACCTAGCTGACAATTTAGTAACACGCTTAAATTCATGCAGTCGAAGCACTAAGGAGAACAGCACATCACAAACAATTGACATGAAAATATTTGTAGAAAGGATAGAGGGAAGCTACGTCACGACGGCGAGAAATTGACTGAAGTCGAAATGCCAGATTCAGGATCGATTATAGACTATGAATTTTGTTAAGAATTTCGAGATATAGAGTAGGAGCACTGGACCAAATGTGGCAACAGTATCCAATGTACGGACGAATGGTAGATTTATAAATGTTTAAGAAGGATTCAGACGATTTCTTTTAAATGGTTTTATAACCATTCCTTGCCCTGAGAGATATGACACACTGACCATATAACAGATTAGATATTGTAGAGCAGTTTATCACGCTTTTCTTTGTTCCAAACGAAATTTTCCGATTTCATAATACATTGCTGAGATTTTAGAAGGCACATTTCGCTATTTCTATACGTTTTCCGATTTCTTTACAACACATTTCGTTGTCTGATACTTCTTTTATGTATCGTATCCTTTTCAGTAGGTGCTCGATCAAGGCTCTCCACAACGTCCTATCCCTTTTAGCGCTAAGCATCATCTGAGTCTTTTACATTCTTTTGTGTTTCCGCTCTGCCGCCCAATTCACATAAATTTATTAGGTAGGTTTCTTGCCCATTCCCTCTGCTCCCCCCCTGCATAAATTTGAGTCTTGATTTCTCCAATCATTCTGTTCTCATTATACGTCCCAGAAAATTTCTACTGCTTCTTTAAGTACAAATGTATTTTAATTCCCATTTTTGTTAAAGCTTACTCGTTTCTTACAACTTTCATCGATGATATCACAGGCATCCGTCAGAAAAATATCACGTCTTTTCTTTCAGTCTTTTGAACAGGAGTAGAGGTTCATCCCTTGTTTCCTGTTGAGGATTGGGGTTTCGGTCCCTTCTAAAGTCTCCTTCAACTCTATACTCCAAACGTCTCCACCTGAACAATTTTATTCGCTAATTAAATCTTGACCTCTTCAAGTCTAGAATTAGCTGACTAAATTTCCTGTTATCTTGCTCTTTTTTACGTTAATACAACTCCACACAGTGGACCCTCTACCTTGAGTGACCCTTGGGCCTTGTATTGAGTGAAAATTAGTAAAAAAAAAAACGAAATTGTCTAGCATATTTCTTCTACATGCCGTGACCCTTCAGAACATGGATGATCATAGCTCTCCACAACATCCTATCCTTCAGATCCCTCCAAATCACTCATCTGTCATCCATTTGCACAAGCTTGTTCGGTATGTTACTTGCTATTTCTCTCCGTCCCTTTTGCTTTCAATATGTCATGTGAATGTCGGATTCGCCAAGCTCTCTTTCCTCATTTTATGTTCTTGGAATTTCGAATGTCATTTTTTAATCGTAATCCCAAATCTTCTTCTTGATTCTGTCTTCATTACAACTTCCTCGTTACTCACATGTCCCTTCTATCTTATTCTCAGAACCCTTCTGTAGAGCCATATCTCTATTGTCGCAAGTCTTCTTTTTATCGGTAAGGAAATTGTCCAGCGTTCACGATCATATAGGAGAATTAATATTACATAACTGTCCAGCAGTGTTCTTTGTTTCTAAGAAAATTTTCCTGTTTCTTAATACTTGATTTGCTTCAAAGTACAAGTGATCTTTCTCTTTATTTCCATTTCCCTTAAAACTTCCTTGTTACTTATATATTCAGTTCATGGTATTCTCAGTATCCTTCTGTAGAACCACAACTCTGTTGCATCACGTTTTCTTTTAATCTGTAAGGATATTGTCCAGCATTCTCTGCTATATAGGATGATTGGTTAGCATGCTATATTGTCCAGATAGTTACATTTCTCTAACTAGCTGATTTTGTTGCCCTGCCCTGTACGTAGCTCACAGCTTGGCCTGTCTCTTTTGCTGACAACCATAAATCCTTCAGTTTCTCAACCGTACTAAGACCATCGTCTCGCACCCCCGGATTCAAATTAAACTTCCTCACGCAGTTAAGACAGGCGATTACAATAACCAATGTTTATCTTGGAAGATTAACAGATAAGTGTTTCTTAAAGTTAAGCTCAGCGTGTGGTCGCAAGATTAATGTTTACCACACGCGGTTGAATCGCCCAAAACTCGAGATTGTGCACAACTCTACAAAAAACAAAGAAGAAAAAAAAACAAAAAGAAATTTGTAATCTTACAACTCCAAAATGAATTCTCATTAATATTTATAACAACCAAACAAATCCGCTTAACATTTATCTAATAGAAAGAAAAAAAATCACATGGTTGATAATTTTGCCTCCACCCGAAATAAGATCTCTTTACTCTGACGAATAACTTAAGTTAATCATGTGACTGTGGTATCTTTTCAAGCGATGCGAGAAATCGAGAAGTAAATATTCAGAGCCGAAATTCGGGTTTCTCGACTTGAGATAGTGATTAGCAAACAAATATCACTGATACGGCTATAGAGAGTTCGATCCTCACAGGGTGACTTACATTTGTAGCTTAACCGATTAGATTATGCTTATTATATCCTGATTATACTTACTTATAGAATATGAAGATTCGAGTTTTCTATGCAGTGTAAATCCAAACTCTTTAGCCTTACAGATGATGAATTCAGTTCAAACAATGATCCTTGATGATGAGCAGTATTAACCCATTAAGATACACAGTCCCCAAATATGGTACAATGGACATTAATGATTTATAGGTATAAACCTATAATTATTGCCTGAATTTTATAAATTTATAATTAATACTGGATTTTATTTTAATTCTTATAATACTGAACTTTGAAGAGCGCATTAATTAATCAGATATCTGGTTCTACAGAAGGATGCTGAGAATACCATGGTCCGAACATATGAGCAACGACGAAGTTCTAGAGACACTGACAACAAAAAGACACTTATACTTGACAGTTGAAATTTCTGGAACGCATAATGAGGAAAAAAGGTTTGTAAAATTTTATACTCACAGTACAGATTGAAGGTAAGAGGGCTAGAGGAATGCAATGCATGACCTATCTGGGAGCTTGAGTGGATAAACGGCTGAGTAGGATTTGGAAGAAATAGTAAAAAGGCAAAAGTTATTAAGAGCTACAAAGGATAGGAAATTAAAGAGAGCCATAATCGCCAACGTCTTGAAGGGAGCGGCCCCAAAAAGAAGACTGTCAGTTTGAGAATAGACTGTTGGGGATTTTTCGGAACTTTTAAAGAAAATAATTTTTAGAATCAGAAAGATACAGTTTACATTTCTGAGAGACAATAAGGAAAAAGGGCCCGGAGAATTTGATACTCACAGGATGTATCGAAGGCAAGCAAGTAAAAAAAAAACAGTAATCTATTTAGCGAGTTTAGGTGAATGAATGCATGAATGAACGAATGGCAAAACAGAAAAAGTGGGATGATAAGGTGTCAGAAGTAACAAAAGACGGGAAGCTGTTGGGGAGG